TAACTGAATGTTTGGTCAGCAAATCCATCAAGTGTTTGAGTTTCAACTTGAATACTCTGTCAACGAAGTCGGGTCTGTCTGGTGGTGTTTCATGTGGTTCGAGATTTTCGCAAATTTCACTCCAATTAGGATTGGTCGTAATGGTGATGAACAAACACGGCGTGCCGAAAGCAGCGACGATTGCCATTGCGTCTTGGTACAGTTCCAACATGTATCGTGGCGATCCAACGAACGATGAGTTCAAAACTTTAATGCGCCCGAGTTTTTTCTTCTTTTCTTTAGCAAGCGTTTCCAAGTTTGCTTTCAAACTACTGCGCTTATCTACACGTTTACCTTGTTGGAGTTGATACCTCAAGTAGTTGATAACGTCTTTCTCACGTTTAATTTCAGTATCAACCAAATATTGTTGGAAAAGTTTCCCACTTTTTGTGATTGGATTAAATTCCTTTTCGCGAGTAGCGATTCTATAGCGAGCGAACATTCCTCGTGTTAGACGATCACGAACTTTAGCATCTTTCAGTTTGAGGTCTTTATGCCATTGCATTGTGCCGTAAGGAAACAGAAGGGGATAGACAAAGGGTTCAACGAATGGATTCATTGTCGAAAGACGTCTGAGTCTTTGCTCCTTGGTACTGTAAACAACAACATACGAATCAGGAATGTCACCGTCGTCGGTTTTAGGACACACAACAGCGACGTCATTGCTCCATTTCGGATTGTACCTGTTTTTGTCGTCTCCAGGAAGCATCGACATAACCAAGTTTAGCTCCGGTTCAGACTCGTTATTACGCTCAGCGTTTTCTTTTTCAAGCTTGTATTGGTAGTTCATCATGCGATAGGATTCTGCGTGGACGTTAATGCGCGAAATTATATTAGTTAATTTAGTGATAATTTCTTCTTTGATGTGTTCCACAACAATGCCGAGTAAACAAATATCTGTTGGCATTGTTGATGACGTCATTTTTCGACGACAAATTGGTTGACGACAACGGGGAATCAGAAATTTTTATAGTAGAGAAGAAGAAGAAGATGTATTGTATTATTATGACTTATTCTACATCCTATTGTCATCTGACTAACTTATGGATCCATGGAATGTAATAAAGATGTATGCCGAGTAAACAATTGACGTTTCCAAGGTAACATAACAATGCACTTACACTTTTTCGTTCCACTTTTTGCCGAATGACACTGACCCTAAAATATAGACGTATATACGTCAAAAGATAAATATAGCATCCTAATTGAAGAGCGTTTGCTCTGTTATTGCATCTAGATCTTCAAGTTATGAACGTTGCTCTAAGGCGCGTCGGAAGCTGTGGATGGCTGCACGTTCGGTCACAACATGTACTCTGACCTTTGTGAATAGTGTCAATAACGTCAGAACTGATTGTGTTCAATGGCTATTTCGTCAACGCGATGTATGGCAACTGTTTGGCTGGTTATTGACCTACGTTTAGGCCAAAGAGCTGTACACGTGCAAATGCTTTCGTGATATTTGAAACTGGTGTGAGACTGTGGTCTCAGACTCAGGCTAAACACGATTCCATATTTGTCTCTTCTCTACAAAGATTTCAAACAATTTTTTAACACTTCCCTCCTCCTCCCTTGTTCGTAATAAATATCTCGCCCATTTTGACAGTATTAGGTTCTGCTTTAAACTCCTCGTTATGCAGTGTTTTACATTCCCTTTTAATTAGTCCAAATACTGTCCTCGGAAACCTGTTACACATCTGCAACAAATATTTTTCGTAATACTTAAAGGTCCCTTTCAGAACAGTTTTGAC